TGAAAAGTGCTCAAGATAGAGCACAAGTTAAAAATAATTCTGTTGACAATGATGATTATGCGTAAGAAGACAAGAAGAGAAAAGATATAGTGTCAACTTCACCATCAACGGAATATAGCAGTTAAAAAAGGAAAAGAAGACCCATTATGCCGACGGACCCTAGCAATGAACAGGAAAATGAGTTTAAACTAAATAGCGAAAAAAAAAAAAATAAGAATACGTACCTAAATATTGCGACATGAAATGTACGAGAAGTATACGAGGAGGGAGCATTAATTAACTTGATAGAACTTTAGAAATGTATATACATCATAGTACTACAAGAAAATACAAGAAACGCATTTGATTAGAAACAACATTAAAAAGATTAGTCCAAACACGTTTGGATGAGCGGTGTTATCGATTGATTTGCTCCATTTTTTTCATAGTGTGACTAAGTAGATTTATAACTCTATAATTTGTTTATTGTTAAACATCTCCATTGTTTTTGTAAAGAGGTTACAAGATGGTGCTCCTCCTCTCATTTGGCTTTATTTCACTTACATAATACGATTAAAACAAGTTGAAACAACTGCTGTTAAAATAGATAGCTAATAATAACTAAATTAGAGTTTAAAACTAGTATAAGCTTCATTAAATTTTAAAAATAATGAGCTTGCTTGTCCTTCAATTAGGGGTCTTATAAAATATAAAAATGTAATCACAATTACAATGTCAACAAAACGATGTCCTTATTTCGTCCGTCATCTTTCAAAACAATTGCTGTCACCAATAGTGCATGCGGTTATAGGAATTTAGTATAAAGTATTCCGATTTATTTGTCCGGCTTGCCAAATAAAAACTAGAAGTTGACGTTAGATACAAAAATAAGTATACTTATAATCCTAGATCGTGATAACTACACCTGTCAGCTAAAAATACCGCCAGTTGTAACTTTTTTTACATCATACAATTTCCATTAAATAATATCTGGTAAATTTAGGTCTGTTCGCTTACTACTACATCGCGTCATGTCAAACTGTGACAGCATTTTAAGTACTTTGTTCTTTTGAAATTCAATACTAGTATTTCCTTTGGCAAATACTGTAGCTATTAGATTTCATATTTATTCAGTAGCTGCCGTGTGCTTGCCAGGAACTATTGGGACGGCAACATTACTTTTATACAGTCTAAAAATATATCGTATCTGTCATTTAGATGTTTCAGTTTCGGATAAAAATGAATATATTGACATTTTTGTATATCTCGTTTAACAGCTAGTAGGAGTACCATAAAAAGTACTGTTTACATAAAAAACTGAATTTCATTCCATTTTGTTCTTCAGTTATTTGTATCGTAAGAAAGAAAAAAATCATCTAGATCATTTGTTAACGCTTTTCTTTTTCATTTTTGTAACCACATTAGGGTCACTGGTTGGCTGCAAAAAAAACACATCCAAAGAAATAGGAAAAAGAATATGCATTGCTATCCGCTGTTATTTTGGCCTAGGCCCTCAACTAAGATCGAACAACTGGAGTTACTACGAAAGAAAAGTTGAAAGAAAAGTATTAAGAAACATATACGGCGAAGTTAACAAAAAGGTTTTGTGGAGAAGGGGATATATGAAGACTTTTTGGTGATGCAGATATCGTGAATACCATCAAAGTAAATTGTAGAAGATGGGTGGGCTAACCTATGCGGCTAAATGAAAGTGATCGTTCTAGAATATCCGTGCTAAATTGGCCGGTCGGAAGAACAAAAATGGGGCGACCTTATAGTGACTAGAGTCTACAATACCATGGTTTATCATGTTAACACGTTCATGCCGTAGCTGTTTACCAATGTGATAACTCACAGCCCTATTTTTTTGTAACAGGTAAATTTGTGTATATTAACATATACATATATATATATATATATATATATATATATATATATATATATATATATATATATATATATATATATATATATATATTGTTATGATATGTAAAATCGAGAAAAATATTGGTTTGTTTAAAATATTTCAAAGTTCAAAAACATTAAAATAATTCAGATAAGTAGGATAATACCCAACAAACATTTCGAAGAAGGAAAGTCTTTAAATTTTTGGATTACCTGTATTAAACAAAATGTAAGCTATGCATAAATTATTTCTTTGTTATACTATATTTGAGTGACCCGCATAATTTTAAGTGAAATCCAAAGACAATTGAACCGGGTTTTCCAAATTCATTAATGCAGTGATTAAGGACAATAGAATAGATTTTATAAAGATAGGTTTTGTTAGTTTTTAAGAATCGTAGAAAAATATTATTTGTAAATAAGTTTTAGGAAATTTTATAATTATAGGTAAAAATTTGTTTGTTATCGAAATGAAAAAATGGGAAGAATTGTGACGAGCTTTGATTGGCGGAGATTGAAAAAGGTGGGATAGGTATGTAGGAATGAAAGTTTAGCTAGATTTTTGAGAGAGACAAAATAGTCAGTGGGTTTCCAAGGGTGCAAGGCGAACGGCCGTTGTTCTCGGGTAGTTTCCCAGAGGTAGGAAGCAGTAGCAGTGAAAGTTTGTGAGTTTTTGTGTAGTTAGTGTATCTGACAGAAGCTGATCCAGTAAAATATTGTAAGTCATATTTTTCTACTTATATTCCAAGAGTCACTGTTCAGGCCAACGAGAGATTCAGTTTATCGTAAAGAAAAGATATTCTAAGAGTCATTTTTCACTCAGGCCAACAAGAGATTCAGTTTATTGAGAGAAGAAGAAGCTAGCATAATTTGAACGATTCGTGCATTTGAAGGAGATCATTAAGGACGATATACTTGCAATAATTTGTTGTAAGATTGCTGATTACCTAGGGAGCGGCCACGAGTAAATAGTATAGTCTACAAATAACAAGGATTTGGACCACTCATCATCAGAGAGAGATAGTTTTGTTTTCTGCAGTTTTTCTTTCATTGATAACACAATTTTTACACTTAATTTAGAAAGGATATAAATATTTTGATTAGGAGATTTAGAATAATATTTGGATTTTGAGATTTCAACTAATATTGTTTGTACCATTAATTTTGAAGGTTCACGTACGTAGAACAAAATTTTGAGAATCATTATATGAGATTTTGTTTATCGAAAACATTTGAGTGTGAATTTTATTTCATTATTTTATTTCAATATATAACGTTCGATCCTATATGTTTTTTTTTTATTATTCCGGTATTCTATGGACCTTTCCTTCCACATGTAATAGCATAGATATTGAAGCACGAATTTAACCCTGAGATAAGAGAATTAAAAAGTGTGATAGAGTCATAATCATATCATTTAAATAATTTTAATTAATTAATTAATTAATTAGCTAATTAATTGCTTGGCGCACCAAGACTTGAAATATCACAATAATATATATATATATATATATATATATATATATATATATATATATATATATATATATTATATATATACATATGTTTTATGTTTTTTTTTATACATGTACCATCGGTGGTACACGACGGCTGTGACGTAAGTTTGTTGCTCAAGGACATCATGTACCACCATGTTAACCAGAACAGCTAAGATTTTAGAAGCTGCTGCACGACTAGGAAGTACATCATGTCCGTCAGGGCCATCATCTTCTACCAGTGATACTGAAAATCCAAATATTGCTGTTAGTATCCCTTCATCTTCTTCACTTCAAAATACAACGGATTAACCTCAGGGCTATGTGAAGCAACCACAGCGATTACGTCCAAGAAACTTCTTCTTCTAGTTCCATGACCATTATCGATCGTTGGATATCATGTTGGCTACCATATTCGCTATCGTGACTTTATTGACAGCAGCTCTAAATAACGATGTAGTTGATTTTCCATACCATTGCCTTAGATTTTTTAGCCGTGATGTTCTTCGTTTACCAGGACCACGATTACCTTGGATCTTTCCCTGAATGATTATATGTAAAAGATCATATTTTTCAGGGTGTCTCATAATGTGACCGAAGTATTCCAGCTTGCGTTTCTTTATTATATTGATCAGTTGTGTTGTTTGGTTCAGCCGTCTAAGGACCTCCTCATTTCTAAGAAGCCAAGTCCAAGAAACTATTCAGCAGAATTATTTTCATCAGGTGATAAAAGCGACCCATATGTAGATTCTGAATTCTTACCAGCCTTCAGACCAACAAGAAAGTAACGACGAAATTTCTTCAAAAGATGAGCAGTCTGGCAATGACAATAATCAAGTTGCTGCAACCACAGTAAATCCTCACGGAACTGCAAAAAATCATATAACGAACGATGATAGTTGGAGGCCATGCATCAAGTCTCAAATAATTTTCAGTTTACTCTACAAAGTGGCTGTCAACTCAATCCAAATGATTTTGGATAATTCATCGTAGAATTTTTCTTTGATTCCATCTTCTTTTTCTTCAATTGCGCCATGTACGTTTAAGAGTTTACAGTTGAAGAATTTTAAAGAAGAATAGTATACGCAATTCAAAACAGATTTCTTCCTAGTCGAAATAAGTAGGTAATAAAGAAATCATGTTAAATTGCTCATGTTTGAATTAATTAAAAACAAACGACAATGTTTTCAAATCATTCCTATTTGGCAAACTCATAAAATCGTACTTTGGAGCATTAAAATTTGACCCAATTAATATTTTCTTTTATAATTTGTGTCATAAATGGCCATTTTAATATTCTATTTTAAAACACAAAGTATCCTCTTGTACGGGCAAGAAATGATTGTTTTATTTTAATAGAGTTCCTATCAGCGGGTCACAAAAAGACCGACGGGACCGAAAAGAGAAACAATAAAGATTTCATCACAGAATCAACTCATGTGTTCAGTAATATCATTGACGAAACGAGCTCTAGCATTGTCTCCGGTGCGGAATAATCGCAATATACCTTGGGTAGTGTGCGGTCTTTGATGATACAAGAGAGAGAAGAGAAAAGGCAGAGGCAGAGCACAAGTCGATGACGTTACAGTCTATTCTGTAAACAAACTCGATTAGTATTACGCTGGTCTCGTTTCTGAGCCGCGGGCTCTGGCCCTCATTTCAATATCTAATCAACTTAATTCGGGTGTATGGGTTTTGATAGAGATGCGACTGCACAAAGATGCGGTAGAAAATTAGAATTAGATCGAATTAAAAGCAGAACGATCGATCCGTGGGTCTTTGCTTGATGAACTTTTCTTTTAATATATTTTCTATTCCTTAAAGCGATTATTTTTAATTAAATCCTGACACAAATTAAACAAATATAGGAATGTAATATTATAAGAATATAGAGAAAAGTTAGGTTTGTAATAAATATAAATAAAAATTTAAAAGATAGAAATAAGGGACTGTTTAAACATTAAATTTTCTTTTAAGTCAAGCTCCTTTCCTTTTACATATATTTTACAAATTTTTTTTTTATTTCTAATGTCGTGTAACATCTGTTTATAAAAACAAAAGAATTAAATAAGACAACGTCCAAACTACGGGGCTGTAAAACTACATAGTCATACCTTCTTAGTCCGATATCAATGCTGTACTAACTGTATAAACAATATGGACGCTTTATTTTTAATCACATACAGAAATAATTAGATAATAAACTCATTCCACAACAAGCAGGCTTCAGGCCAGACAAATCCTGCACAGGCCAAGTACTGAACCTAACAGAGAACATATAGTAGGGAGAGAGCGATAGTGTCAGCAGCCTTGGTAGACATCACGGCGGCATACGATACAATAAAACATAGAACCTTGATAACTGAGATTGCCTAGCCTAGTGCTTGACTATGACCTAGCAGAGATTAGCAGGTCATTGCTATATAATAAATCCTAAAATATGCTAAATAAAATAAAGAGCAGATGGCGTACTTAGAAAAATGGCTTACTTTAAGAAGCGTTCTGTCCCCATCCTCTACTAACTAAAATATAAATAACACTCTTAAAGTATAAGAGTATAAAACAAAAGATTGCTAGAAGAAAAAATCTTCTCCAAAGAGAAATGCTTTTCTTTTAGGAAGCAAGTGAGGTGAAAAATCCACAGGTGTCAAAATCAACAGCCAGGGCCTTGTGTTTCTTAGCAGAGAAACAGTTTTCAGCAGTTTTCCTGTGTGGAGTAGTTATAAGCACGTCCCACTACCCAATCACAATCTACCCATTACCCCTACTGGCACAGCTGCTTTCGTATCACTAGAAAATTTTAGATGCACCTCTGAATATGTAGAGAAGTTCAGGCAAAGTTTCCATGAAAGACGCCAATTGTACTAGTTGTAGGAACCACCTGGAACCAGCTGGCTCAAATAAAAAAAAAGGTACATGAAAAGCGTCGAACCCCCCAAATTATTCCCTCTATCTATACTCAGAGCCACCACGTGAGATGGACCTGGACCGGAGAACCAGGCTGACTAAATAGGTCTAAAGACTATTATCGACGCACTCTGTGAATGTGGAGAAAAACAGAATGTAGAACATCTGATCCCGACTTTATCCATCACAATGCATCCTCAATTATCCATGGCTAACAAATATAAAGACAGTAGACTTAGCCCGATACAGACTTGAAAACTAAGTAATCCACACCATGAAAATATGGGAGAAAGTAATTGATAAACAGATAATATCTGTGTGGGAGGAACTGATAAATTTTATTTCCTGTTTCTGTATGCTAATGAGGTATTGTTAATAGGAAATACTAAAAGAGACTTAGAACAAAAACAGAAATTTTAGGAAAAATGTTTAACTTGGTAAGATATAAACAAACTATTTGGAATATTTAATAAAAAATGTAATTACCACTACAAATAAAATGTTAACTTTAAACGATAAGACTACAGAATGATAACAGTGCCGTTGTGCAGCTTAAAATGACGTGGAACAAAGAATGCATGTGGCAGAAATACTTGGACCGATGAGTGGAGTTATAAAAACGATAAAAGAGAAGAAAAAACAAAGAAGACCGTGAAGAAGAAACTTAAACAGGACAAGTTTAAGTGTCTAAGGAAAGTCTAAGGAAAGGAAGACTGAATGGAATAACATAGTAAAAGTAGCGAGAGATAAATCACCCTGATAAAAGACGATCTATCTGAAGATCAAGAAAACAATGATCAAGCAATTTTTGAACCCAAGAAATAACCAAAATAACGATCAGATATATATGCCGTTAGAGAAAAGTAGGAAGAAGAAGAAGGGATAACATAAGAAGAACATAAATTAACAAATACTTGATGTAATGATTAAATGTACTTAAGCTTGCAAGAATTGTAAAGACTCTGGCATCAACAAAAACACGAACTCAAGTTCATGATGATTTTAACCCTTTTATGGACATAAAGAATTATTAATTTATTAAAAAATTAATAAAAAAATTAATTATTTACGTTTTTTTATGTCTACTTTTTCAAATTTTTTGGAAGGTGGGAAATATTTTTTATATCACCCAAAACCTTTTAGAAAGCTCTTTATTACACTGACCAACTTGAGACAAACTGTTCTCCCCTCCTCAACTTATTCAGTTGAAGACTATAAAGTGTAAACTTATTCCAAAAATAGATCACATAGGTTTAAACCATAGGTTTTAACTTTAATAATTTTATATACTTGACTTTGCAATAATTTACCATTTTGCCAATAGAATTTTATCAAAAAAATTTGATAATTACAAGTTGAAACAATTGCACACCCACACAATTTGTACATCTAATCTTATTTATTGTCATAAAACTGTCACCTTCATAAAATAAATACTCAATAAATAACACATATTTCATAAATATATCTCTTGAATAAGTATAAATAACTTTTAAATAATACAATGGTATAGAACATCACTTTCATCTAACAAACAATCACATTACACCTATCTCTACTTCACTGGATCAAATCTATCTCCTCAAGAACTTCCCGTTTATTGTCAAACAACCACAATAGCAGACTTAAGTTCTACATTCAACAATACATGATAGTTTCAACCATGTTCTACCATCCATCAATTAATAGAGTACCAGCATGTAAGTAATGTTTTATTTATTTGCTCATATATTAATTTATTACAATCTAATAGACTATTTTATAACAATTCGTGGGTCTTACCTTGTCTGTTAAAAGTTTTTATACCTTTTTATTCCTTTTTATTCATTTGGAAAACCACAGGCATAATTACTGTAATATATAACATCTACTTTGTTTATCTTTATTAGACAACACCCTAATATGGGTTTATTATTATTTCAGCATTTATTTAACTTTGTATCGAGACCTGAAGATGCTTTGCATACTGTAGAAAGCGAAACTGGTCGTCTGGATAGTTAAATTAAATTGATTGTGACTAAGTCTTATTTATTATTTCTTTACCTACTTACTAAATACTAACTAACTAACAAATAATACTAACAAATACTAACTTTTAAGAAAGAAAACTAATATTAAGGCCTATCCTCGATAATCCTAACGGTAAAATTCAGTGAGCTATCTATTTCAAAAATATCTTTCTTTACGAAAACAAAATCCATTCACGAAGAATATTCTAAAAGTCATCTGGTACTAAATTTTATATTTTTACCTACTTACAATCCCCTATTGTGAAGTCTTGGGTGTATACAATAAAGTGAGCGGGAGGTCTTCTTCTTCTTCTTAAGGTTCCATCTTCTAACGAAGGTTGGATATCAACATGGCAATTCTTATTTTACTTACAGCCTTATTCTTCTATTCATTGCGATTATGGGGTAATTAGAATAATAGGAGTAAACCAGAGTAATATTATTTATTGAATAATTAATTTACAACTTAGCAAGGGTACATACAGGTAACAAATAATCGTCCTGTAAATAATTCATAAATTAAATCACAAACTTTTATAAAATTTTATAACAAAATAATGTATAACAAGATATAAGTGTATTGGTTTTTTTATGTCTTATATTTTCTTTTGTTATTGTTTTTTTGCTGACAAATTGGCTTTTAACGTATATTACAGTTTGATGATAAATATTCTGAAATGGAAAATGTTGAGATGTGGCGAATAAAATCATTCATGAAATTAAAATGAAGGGATTTACGTCTATTAGTGGTGCGATTTATAAAATTAGTAGCTCAAATCGCGGGAGGAATATATGCATTAGTTTTCAAATATTTATTATTTACGATATAATTTCTAAATTGAACCACTTTCACTTCTTTAGGTAACAATGTATCTGTCTTGACAACTAAATAGGTAATTAGACAAAATAACGATTATTATTAATTTCAAAACGGGAGTTTAAAGAATTAGAAGAAGGTAGTCTGGGCCCAGTTAAACAATCAAGTTTATTCCAGTGGAAGCAATCAGGAGGATTGTTTTTCGTTTTGGCTCAGCTGACATGCTCTCTCTAGAACTAGAACCCATGAAACTATGGTAAAAAGCATGCTTTTATTTACACGGTTGTGAAACGAGACGATTAACAGAGACATCGAAGAAAGATATGTCGCTGAAATGGATGCAATAAAGTATGAGAATAGAAGGTACAGTCATGGATGGCATACAATGAAGGCATCTCAAATGGTACGGACATGTCCAATGAATGAAAGACAGTAGACTCCCGAAACAAGTACATCTATGAACAACTACAGGAATCCAGAAGAAAGGACTACCGTAGAAAACACGGATGGAACGAATAAAAAACTCAATGCGCTCGAAAGTACTTAAAGAACAATGGAACAACCGAATTCAATGAAAAATGGACGTCGGAAGACGTTTTATACGGATTATATCATATTACGAGTATAGGTACATTGTTATTATATCATATTATATCTATTTATATAATACATTATATACACGATATTGAAGGAGATTACAACATAGACAATCAACAAAATCTACATTGTCAAATACATAGTGAAGACCCAACAATAATAGAAGTGTCAAATGCCGTCTTAAAACATAAAGTAAATAAAGCCACAGGAATCGATTAAATCTGCTGGGAAATGTATGAAAAGGTGATGATCAACTTTTTGCAGTAATCCATAAACTAATAGTACTTATATGGCAGAATGAATTGGTAACAGAAGAGTGGCTAAATGA